GCAACGGTCTCTCAAAAGCCGTCACACCTATGGCCTCGGCTGTCTTTCGCTCATTATTAATTGAAATATTGAGAGTCAGTTCTCCATGCGGGCACCAGGCAGCAGTTTGCCACATCCAGTCGGCTCTCTGTGGGGGCCATGGCGCCTCTCCTTGGAGCCAGAGCCCTGAGGCTAATTAGAGGTTCACACACCATGATCTAATCCTGAGGTCCCTACAAAGGGGAGCCTCTTGCCAACACACAAGCCATTCAGCCGGAAACTGTATTCTTTGCAGGCTCTAAGGCTTCACTGCGGCGCCTTTCCCAGTTACAAGCATTTGTTTGGAAGATCCTCCCTCCCTCCCCCATGGCAATCAGCAACAAAGTGCTTCTAACAAACCAGTCAGTGTTCAAATTAACCAGGAGCCAGATTTCCAAAGGTGACTGAGAAGGGGCTCAGCCTCCAGTGCCTGCTCTGCTTTGCTAATCTAGCCCATGTTTATTTTTAAGCACAAATTCCAAAATGTCTCTTGACAAATGAGACGTGAAATGAATGAGTTTTTGCACATAAACTTTTAGTGCAAATATGTATTTGGCTGAGCTGGTCACATATGGTCAAGAAGGGCTTTCCTGCCCGGCTGTGCATAGTTAAAGAAAGAGCTGAGCAAATCTCCCCGTCTGCCCCCTGGCATTCCTAAAGTAGCTCACTCAACTCCTCACTCAACACCAGACTTCCTTCTGCTGGCTTTCTAGGAGCAGGGATATAATGGGAAATGTCTGGAGAGGTGTGCTGAACCTCTCCTAAAGAAGTCACCAATCAGAAACAGCCAGAGTGTCCACTCCACCCTGGTCTGGGGTGAGCCTTTTAGTCCCTCTGATCCTCCATCTACCCTCCACTCTGCTCCGAGCCCTGGGCTGACCTCCATCGGCTGCTTCAGTCTGGAACCCTTGCCCTTGACTTCCAGTAGAGTCAGGCCAGTGGGAGGCTCTGATAGGAAAATGGAGGAGAGGTTAGGAGGAGGTTAGGAGGAGTGGGCTGGCTGTGTCCCTCCACTGAGGCCCCAGCTCCTATCAGGCAGTCCATCCAGCTTCCTCTTTGACTTGTGCTAATTACTCCCTTCCCTTGCTCCTTCAACCTAGGGGTGCTGAAGGCTCCCACTGTTGCTAGCCCTAGAGACCTGCAGCCATCCTCTGCTGGCCACCCTGACCCTGTTCACACCTTATAAATACCCTTTCTCAGCTCCCTTTGGTGGCTTTGAACATGCCCTTTATTTCTTCCAGCACCTTGACTGATACAGACTCTGCAAACACTTGTGCCTATTAACCATGAGGACTGCCCCCCACCCCGCCCCAGCCCCAAGCTGCTGAGAAAACTGTGGGCTGGAGAAGTCAGGTTCAGGTCGCTCTCCTCCAGCTCCTTCTCCAGCCTATGGCACAGGAGGAGCTGAGCCATGTCTGGCTGGCTGCCTCCTGGGAACGCTCAGTGCAACCCACGTTGGCCTCCGAGCTCCAGGCACTAGCCGGCAAGACAGTCCTGCAGAGAGGTTATTAATGTCTACCACCCACAACCGCCTGCAGGCTTTACTCCCTGCCAGCCCAGGGCCTGGGTGACCTTGGGTGGCTGGGAGAGATGGGACACAAGCCTGGGCATAGTTTCCTCCTTGGGACCAAGGCCATTCAGATGCATTTTTGGATTACAGGTCATGTAACCTACTTCTTTCTGCTCAGAGTAGGACACAAAGTGCCTTTCCTAAGAGCGTCACATACAGAGCTGAGGACATGGGCTTTCTGACCTTTCAGCTGAAGACTCACCTTCCAAATCTTCCAAAGGAGAGCAGGAGAGAAACCCAGGGCTCCTTATGAGATACACCTGTCCAGTTCCTGGCCTGTTGAGGAGCTGGCAAAGGTTACTGGGTGATAGAGACCCCAGAGGTACTGCTGAGTTCAGCCTGTTGTCACTTTCTGGGTGACAGTGAACACTACGCACCACCTCAGGAAAGACAGAGAGGAGATGCTGGCCTGACCTACGTGAGCATTACCATAGTGCCTTGCAGCTGGCAGGCGTCCAAGGCCCCACTGGCTGGGATGACCCTGGCCCTTGTGCCATCAAGACTGAGCTCATGTGAGGACCCCATGACCCTGGGACTTGTGCCACTGAGACTGAGCTGATGTGGGGACCCCACGTCTTCTTGGAAGAAGGGCACCTTTCATGGGTGGGTTCGCAGTCATGGGAATGGAATGCCTGGAGCTTTCCCCCTCTCTCATTTGGCCCTGTGGCCAGCTCAGAGATTGGAAACCTGACGGGCTGTGCTAGGCTCAAGGGTCCAGGAGAAGAGGGATGTTCAAGTAGGAACAAGTTCACAAACTTTGTCTCATTACCATTTTTTCTTTTTGGTACCAGGGATTGAACTCGGATCCTTGCACTTGCGAGGCAGGTGGCAGAACCACTGAGCTACATCCCCAGCTGTCTCATTACCATTTTGTGGGGAAGACCAAGTTCACTCTCACGGATTTCTTTCATATGGTGCTTCCTTCATCAAATCCTTCAACCAATCCTGTTCATTCTATTTAGCTTTTAAGCCCTGCCATAGCTTAGCGTCCAACTGCCAACCACTGAGGTTTATTCTCCCCAATTCCTTCCCCTCCAACCAGGGGAGCTAAAGGCCATGGTCATAACAGTGAACGTATGTACAGCGATTTCCATATCAAGTTCCCTCTGAGGTCGGGGATTTTAGATGCCCATTTTATAGATGACCCAGAGATGTTAAACCACTTGCCTTACCGGGGATTTAGCTCAGTGGTTACGCTGCTTACCTTGAAAGCCCAAGGACCCGAGGTCAATCCCTGGTACCAAAACAAAACAAAACAAAACAAAAAACCACTTGCCTAAACTCACATAGCCAATAAGTGGTTGAGGTACAACTTATACCTAGGGTTTCTGTCTTTCAAGTCTTCCACTTTGCCACTGTACTCATGGTCTAAGAGACATCCCAGAGTATGTTCTAGCCTCTGCTGCTCAAGTTTACTTTCTGGGGCCCAAAGGAATAGGGTGAAAAGGTCTTTCACCAACCGGCATCAATGAAGCCAACCACTCTGTAAGTCAACAAACACCTTTCCAAAGCATCTATTAGACACTAAGTAGAGGTGGTCATCTCCCCCAAAGTGTCAGTCTCCTATTTCACGGTGAACAGAGGATGTTGGGAAGCAGTTGCCAAATCAACAAATAACATTTTCCAAAGATCCTTTTATCTGTATTGGACCACGGGATGGGAGAGGATGAGGGCAGAAGCAACATTTTCCATATCTAGGCCTCCTCCGGAGAAACTCACCTTGCCATTCTCAACACCTACTTTTCCTTGAGAGGGTGAAACACCACAGAAGAGTTTTGAGAGACTATTTTCTCAGGTTCCCAGGAACAGCACACATAAAGGGCCGTTCTAAATGCATATATACAGCACATGCCTTACGGTCTTAGAGCATCATTCTGTCAGGGAACTGGGTCAAGAAGGGCCACTTCTGTCTCTTCCCTCCTCTGTTGGCCACGTGTCCCTTCACAGAGTGACTCTGGGAGACACTGGCTGAGGCTGGTAGAATCTCTGTCAGCCTGAGTGGGACTAACTACATGGAATGAAGCCACCGCACCCTATTCCAGACTTGATGTGTATGAAAAAAAAAAATTGAAATGTGTCAAGCCACCACATTTTGAGGTTTGTAACAGTAGCTAGTGTCAACTGAAATTAATAAAGGGGGTGGAATGTTCCAGGCCAGGTAGGTGAGCTTGGGGTTGTTTGGCGAGGCTCTCTACAGGTTCCAGCTGGCTCACTTCCCCTAGCCTGGAGGAAAGTCCCGAGAGCCCCTGTGCGGTGCTGAGAGGAACGAGGCCTCCAGATCCAGGCAACAGCCTGAGATACAGGCAGCTCCCACAGGGGAATAAACGAGCGAGAACCAGCACTGAGCTGACATGCAAGACAGACAGCAGCTCCACACTGTTCGTGGGGTGAAGAATCAGCCAGGGAGGTGGGATAAGACAGTGACAGGAGACTGTCTCCTCCATTTAGCAGTACAGCCAAGGCCTGCCTGGCGGCTGGCAGCAGGTGGCAGCACTTTGAGCACTGTCCAGAAGGACAATGTGTTCCATCACTCCTGCCCAGAAGGTTTTACATGTGACTGTCCCAGCCTCTCAGTGCTGTATTAACAGCAGAGATGCTCTCCTTGGGACTGCATCACAGGAGACGGAGGGTGGGGTTCAGGCAGGGAGTGACTTCCTTACAATCAGACCCGAAGAGGGAGCACTGGAGCTGAGCCCCTGACTAAGGCCCACTTTGGAACGGGGGGGGGGGGGAATGTCGAGGGGGAGGGACACACTGGGCAGCAGGCCTTTCTGCTCACCACAACCCACTACTGTTGGGCAGCCCCTGAGGTGCCTGCCATGGCTCTCCCACAACCCTCCCCCAAATCCTCTCCTCCCCATCCCACTGAGCTCCCTAGCACAGCCAGTCTTAACCTCTGGTGACTTCCTAACGCGGAATGGGGCGCTACCCTTAACCCCCCAGAGCCAGCACCTTGGACCCTCCTCAAATTAGCCAGGCCTGTCCACAAGGTCTAGGCTAAAGTGTGTTCAACTGAGCTTACACTCAACTTTAGCCATCATTCCCCAATCTCAGTGAGGGGCCAGTCCTTTGCCGCCGCCCCCCCCCCCCCGCCAAAAGCCCAGAGGCACACGTGGGGCTCCAGGAATAACGGTGACCAGCCCGCGCTAGGAGCGCCGCCCACAGGGCCCAGTTCTCCAAACACAAGAGACAGCTCCCAGTACTCCAGCCTCGGCGCCACAGGGCAGCCCCGACCTTCAGAAATGAGCTTGGTCGAAAGCTCCCAGAGGCCACCGTAAAGACAGACAAGGGGCGGGGAGACGGCTGGGAAAGCGCCGACAACGACTCAAGGGAGGCAGAGGAGAATGACCCAGGGCCACAGCCTGGCCCGGAGCCAGCCCGGAGCGTGTCTTCTCCCGCGCGCCCACCTTACCTGAGCCGTGTCTCTGGCGCAGAAGCACCGCCCGGCGGGGTGGCGGAGACGCCGACGAAGCCGCGGCTGCAGCCGCCACAGTGGTGGTGGCCGTGTGGGCCACGGAGGCGGCAGCGGCCTCGGGGACTTCGGGTCCGTGGGCGGCAGGAGGGCTCCCAGGCAGCTGGCTCTTGTCGCTTTGGCCGGGCTCAGAGGTGGTGCGGCCCGCGGTGCCCGCGTGGTTGGGGTGGGCGGCGCCGTGGCGCCGTGGACCGCTGCTCTGGATGTGCGACACAGCCTCGGCAGCCTGCATGTTGGGCGGCGCGAAGCGCGAGAGCACGCGCAGCAGCGCCTGGGCCTTGTGCTCCTGCGTGTCGTCGTCGCTGTAGTCCGACACGCGGCACTCGTACACGCCCTCGTCCTGCAGGCGCACGGCCGACAGCCGAAGCCGGTGCGAGATGTCATTGCCCTGGACGCGCACCGTCTGCAAGAGAGCGGGGTTAGAGCCGGGGCTGGCAGGGCTCAGACCTGCTCCTAAGGCTTGAGCTGTCAGTGCCCCAACCCTGCCACCGCGCCCCCTTGCCAGTGCACCCCTCCGCAGTCGTGTGGGAGCTCCCAGCTCTGCTTGCCACTGTGTTGCTAAGCCCACTGCCCTGAGTTCCCCGTTCCTCACCGTACTGGACGCCCCATCTTGCATACCCCCACCACCGCCGGCCCCACACACCTGCCTTTCTCATCTTTCCGGAGCTTTCCCTTCCCCATCCTACGACCTTCAAAAAACCTCCCGCTGGGCCTCTGTTCGCTAAGGGTCCACGTCTTTCCAAGTAGGTACTCTAGCCCATTGTCCCCAACCCCCGCCCTCCCAAGGGGGCAGGCGACACTTAGCTGCTGCCTGGCCCCCTGGCCTCCTGCTAGGACCAGTGCCTACAGCAAATCGAGCCTCTCGGCCCCGGTGGAGGAGGCGGGGGAAGGAACCACTCAGTGGCCTTCGCCCAGCGCCCAGGGGCCCCTCGCCTCTTCCCCTCTTCCCAGAGCCGGGGAGGAGGCTGTCCTGATCTCCAGGCCCTGCTACTTCCGCGCCCCAGCTGGGAAAGCTTGGGTCAGTCTTCTCTGGACCTGGGCCCTGCACAACTCGGAGAAACTGCACACCATCCCACCCTCCACGAGCCTTCCACGCTCAGCTCTCGGCGGAGGGAGCGGGGTGTTGTGAGGCACTTGGCCGCTGTGCTGGGCGGGGCAGAGAGGGTGGCAAGCAGCAACACGGGTCGCGGAGAGGGCGAGCATCCGCGCGCTCGCGGCGCTGAGAGAAATGGCAGCAGAGGAAAGGCGAGCAGACGGAGCAAACTGAGCGCGTGGTCCCGGGAAGAAAAGTTTACAGGTGAGCGCCCGGCCGAGTTGGGGAAACTCAAGCCTTGGACTCTTGATTTACACAAAAGTGAACCTGACCGTGCTACCGGCGACAGGTGGCGCTCAGACATGCCTAGCAGCCGACTACGCCTGGCCAGGAGCGCGGGTCTGCACCGCGCTGCCGGAGAGGAGCGGTAAAGGGGAGGGAGCTGCGCAGCGCGAAGCGGCCAGAAGGGGGCTCCCGCGGCCCACGCTGGGCTCCACACTTACGCTGATTTTAGTTGCATCCTTATTTGTTACCTAAAATGCAAAGGGGAGGGAAAGACATTAGGCTGGTGGTATTCGGACTTGGGGAACTCAGACCCGCCTGCAGCTAGGGGACCCTACCTGGGCAGGCTGGTCCCCGACATTTCTTGGAGTTGGCAGGGGCTGAAGGCCCCAAAGATGTCAGGATTTCCAGCAGTTTGTTAGGAAGGAAGCCGTGTTTGGAGCAAGCAAGGGGCCTAGGCAAGAAGTGGCTATCCTACCACGCACTGGCACCTGAAGTGGGGAGCTGGGTTCAGTGTGGGAGTGGCCCATCTCTCGCCTGCAGAGCACCGCACTGCCTCCCAGTTCCTCCAAATCTTCAACTTAATTAATTAGGAATCGTGAAAAACTGGATGGAAGGGCCGGTGTCTGGGCAGGACCGGATGGGAGTCATGAGCAGTAACTTTGAGTGGGACCCTGGGGAGAACGTAGGTAGGTGTGCAGGTGTGAGTGTGTGCTGGAGTGCATGTAAGAGAATATGGGCGATAAGGCAGACGCGATATTCAGCCACAGGGAAGCCGTCCCCCGCATCCTGGGGAAGCGAGAGGTGACCCGGCTTCCCCGTACGTACAGTACACGGTTCTCTGCCGGCCTCTGGAATGCAGCCCGGAGGAACTTAACTCGTTGGCCCTGTGCCCCGAGCGAAACTCAGAGTGGCAGAGGGCAGCGAGAGACCGGTGGGATCAAGCGATTTCCCCTCTGCAACCAGCACCCTATCCGATGCTAGTCCCGCACAAGAGAGAAAAGGGGAGCTGGATGAGGTGTCGGTTTTTAGGGGCTAGGCGTGAATGGAGTTCCGGGAGGTTGCAGAAGGGAAACTCAAAAAGAATTGGCAGGATTTGAGGATACCAACGGCTGACTCAGAAGATGCTGTGGGGTTGCAGAGGGTGGGCTGCGCGACAGGGAGTCGCCCTGGGTCCGTGAACCCCGCTGCTGCCTTATTCCCGGGGGTAACCCTCTCCGCCCCCGGGCCTGAGCCGGGTGCGCGCCGGCGCCGCGTGGGCGGTGGGTTACCTTGCTCCGGGCGCCGGGCACGCTGAGCGCCAGCTCGTGCAGCAGCTCCCGCGGCGGCTCCTTGAGATACCACCACTGAATCTCCAGCGAATATGAGGTGGCTCCACTGGCCCGGAACGCGCAGGGCATTTCGATGTCGTCTCCCTCCCGTACTGTCACATCTTTGGGGACTTCGGTGAACGTAGCTGGGGGCGGGGGAGAGAGAGGCGTGACCAGCTGCAGGGCGGGGGCTTGGGGCAACCCGAGGCGAGGCGGTCGGTCTCCCGCTCGCTCGCTGGCTGGCCTTGGGCTCCCCCTCTCCCCAGCTGCTGCGTGGTCCACGGCCTGAGGCGCCAGCAAAGTTCAGCGGAGCAGCTGCAGGGCGGGCGCAGAGACCGGCCGCCGGCCGCCGGCTGCTTCCCTCCGAATCGGGCGGGGCGGCTGGGGAGGCACGCTTCTCCCCCGCGTTGGGCCGCACCACCAGAGCCCGGCCGGGGCGCGCCAACTCTCGCTCCCCGCATCCTCCTTTCCGAGGCCGGACCCCCAGCCGGACTCTCCTCCCCCTACCCTTCCAGGCCCACGCTGCACACTGGAATGGCTGGAGACCTCGAAGCCTTCCCTTCCTTCTCTTCCTTTTTTTTTTTTTTTTCCTGTGGCGGCCGAGGCAAGCTGTCTCCGGCGGCCCCCGCCGAGGGTTCCCCGAGCCCACCGCCGCGGCGAAGTTCCCGCGCTCACCGTCGGCCACGTAGAGCAGCAGGGCGTGCAGCAGCAGAGGCGGCAGGTATCCGAGGGCGCCGAGCCGGTTCCGCTGTTCCATCTCCCGCAGGGGCGCGGCGGCGGCGGGGGCCGGGGCGCGAAGAGGCGGAGGTGGCAGCAGCGTGGGCTCGGCTCCGGCTCCCGCTAGGGCTAGGACGCCTCGGAGCCTGCCATGGCCCCGCACGGCGCCCCCTCCCCTGGCCGCCGGCGGCCGCCAATCAGCCCCGCTCCCTCGCCCGCTGGCCCGGCGCGGCTCCGGCGGGGGGCGCTGCGCGGAGTGCGCTGCGGGCGAGGTCCCGCCGGGAGGCTACTGGTGATCGGTCAGTGTCTCCCTCTGTCCGCTGGTCCACAGCACGACGGGGATGCGCTGTTCAGTCTCCTCCCGGCCGGCCGGGAAGGGGCCGGGCTGCGCCAGGACCCATCCCTGGCCGAGGGAGTGCGCAACTCGGAGCGGCGAGCTAGTGTCTCCCGTTCTCCTTCTGCTTCGGCTCCCGACTGCCACCTCTTTCGGCTCTCGCCGTCGCCCCCGCCGGTTTCTCCGCGGATCTTTCCGCAACGCGAGTGGGCGCTCAGCCGCGGCGCGCAGACCTGGCGTCCGACCCAGCGCGGCGCGGGCAGAGAGGGTCCGGCGTGGCGGCCCCGAGCCGGAGAGAGGAGGGGAGGGGGAGGGGAAGCGAAGGGAGGGGGCGGTCAGTGGCTGGGCGCCGAGCCGCCTCCGCCGCCGCATCCCCCCCGCCCTCCTCTCCTCTCTTCTCCCCTCCCCTCCCCTGCCTCAGCCCGCGCCGCCCCCGCCCTGGAGCGCTCCCTCCTTCTGTGGGGGTCGCTTGGAGGGACCACCATCTCTCCGGCTGGAGCGCAGCTCCGCCCCGCACCCGCTTTGCTTGGGGGTCCTCCCACCTAAACTCTCCCTGGCTTCTTCTCAGTCTCCATCCCTCGAGACGGCCGCCTGTCCCTGCTCCCCATGTGTCCCCGGCCCTCTCCGCAGCCCCCGGGCCTCAGCTCCTTACCCGGCTTCGGGTAACGAGCTGCACCACTCTTTGGCCCGGGCGAGGGCCATGGTGGGTGGGTGGGCTCCGGGGGCCGGGAAGAAGGGCGGAGCGCTGTGCCGGGCCGGGGACGAGGCCGGGTGACGGCGGCGACGCCGAGTCTGCAGTGTGTGAGCCAGAAGTGAGCGCACAGCGCCCGGCGAGCAGGTGCCTGTGGCGCGGAGAGCGCACCAGCGAGCAGCGAGCAGCGGCCGTGAGTGACGGCAGAGGCGGCGGGGGTGGGGGGGTGGGGAGCGCCGGGCACGACTCGGGCCCGGGAGGTTTCTGGGCGGGGGCGGGGTTCCTGCCCCTCGAGAGCCTGTCCCAGCGTCCTGCACGCTCTTCGCCGGCCCTCGCTCCCTCTTTACCTCGCAAGGGGGAATCCCGAGGCAGCGGCAGACAGAGGTCGCGTCCACAGCCGCGCTCCGGAGCCCATCCCCCCTCTCGCAAGCCCAGCAGCCCAGTGCCTCCCTCAGCGTCCCCCGGAGCCTGCCAACCCAGCCACCGTGGGAGTGCGGTTTGGTCCTCGAAGGGAAATGTGCGGCGGCTGTGTGGTTCGGGCAGAGCACAGAGTCCTAGGGCCAGTCCCATAGCTCGGCTTGGGTCTCTTCGCATTCTCTTCCCCGTGGGAATTCCCGGTCAGTGGATTTCGGTATCTCCGTCCCTACCCCAGGGCCAGACCCCAGCAGCTTTGACCTGAGGTTGGGTGGGGCAACTCAGTGGATTCCGAGTCTGCCTAGCCCATTCACCTCCCTGAGGTTTCCAGGGAGCCTGGGACAAGGGGAGCCAGAGGGAAGCCACTTTCCGGCAGTCCAAGCCACCAGTGAGTGGCACAGCCTCTGAGAGGAAGAAGCTGCAAGCCCCTTCTCAGCTTTGTTCTCACCAGCTGGTGCCCCTGGGCACCACACGCCCTTCCTTCCTGGGTCTTAGTGTTAGATAAGGATCCATGACCAAGGACCTCTAGGCCATCTCTAGCCTTAGGTCTTGGGTGCTCACTGCTCACCAAGGTCTCCTGGTGGAGCAGGAGGAGGTGCAGGACCTAGCTCCTCTCCCTGGAGCGCATCTCCAGGGCTCTGCAGAGTCATTTCTTCACCGGCTTTCCCTTGGGAATTCCATCTGCCCTTGGGAGCCACTTGGGACCCAGGAAAGTAAGACCCCTCAGGGACATTGCTGTCCTCAGTGTCTGAAGGGAGGGGGCAGACTTGCACTGTGCCACACGGATTCAGGCCCATGATAGGGTTCTAGGAAAGCAGATTTCATCTGGAGATTGCTTTCTGGCAGGGCTCTGATGGCAAGAGCTAGCTGTGCAGGGGACCGCCGGCCTGCAGAGGCAGCAATCGGAGGCTGAGGGCCAGTGATGGGGATGTGCAAGCTAGAGAGAGCACACCTCTACTTTTAGGTTACTTTTAGGGTTGGCCGTCCACATCTGTACCGCTGTGTGGAGTAAGGTGGTACTTGCCAGTGGCCTGAGTTAGTATTATTACTCACAAGAGGAATAGCTGTGTGCTACAGCCTGCTTTTCATGTAGCAGACACCAGCTGCATGCTTTCCACGCCTCAGTTCTCAATGTGACAACAGAGAAATCCTTCTCAAACCAAGAAGATCAGCCTTCTGTTGCTCACAACCCCGCAGTAACTCCCGTTTCACTCAGCATAAGCACCAGGGGCTTGACAAGGTCAAATGATCTGCTTCCCCAAACCCCACTTTCCTCTCTGCTTTCATCTTCTCACCTTTTCTGTCATTTCTCTGGTCACACTCCTCTCACCACAGTGTCTTTCCTGCAGTGCCACACCCTGGGTTTGCTCCCACCCCAGGGCCTTTGCATGAGCCATACCAGCTGGCTGGAATGCTCCTCCCTCAAGCACTTGCTTGGCTAACTCCATCAGGTTCTGGTTTTTGTTGGAAAGTCACCTTCTCGATGAGCCCCACCCAGATAGAGCAGCTTACCCACTCCTGTCATCCTGCTCTCCATGTTCTCTCTTCCTTTCCCTTAACCACCTTCTGACATAGGTGCAGTAGTCTCATTTACTGCGTTTCTTTTTCAAGGTCTGTAAAGCTCTTTGCCCTGATGTATCTCCAGTCCGCTAAAGCAGGCTAGGTATTCAGTGGGTATATTTTGAGTGTGCAAGTGGGGTTATTTCATCCCTATAACAACCCCATAGGACAGACATTGTGATCTCACCCCATTTTATGGATGGGGTGACTGAAGCTCAGAGAGCATATGGAACTTCCCTGAGGTCACACAGCTAATAAGTGGCCAAGTGAGGTGTCAAGCCCGGCCTGCTTTACTCTGGGATGCTGGTTCTTTGGGATCTTACCCCTCCAGGTAAGACTCTGGCCCCTCCCCTATGCCCAGAGCTGGCAGAGATAGCAAGGTTCCCTGTCCTGAGCCGGTGGCAGCCAGGAGCGGCCTGACTCAGCCAACGTCTGCTCTGCCTGCCCAGCCTTGCACTGAAGGGTCTTCGTGCTCTTCTGTCCATGCTTGTAGACTTGGGGGCAGCGATGGGACCTTTGCTGTGTCCCATCTCAGCTGGGCCCGATGTATACTCAGGGCCCGAGAATGTTTGAATTGGGGGTGTCCTTAGGAGCAGCGGAACAGGGCACTTTGTTGTCCTTTGCTGGGGATTTCCTGCTGGGTCAGACAGGGACTTTGGCTTAGCCTTTTGGCCGGCTGGAGGATCTGTAAGCAGAAACCATAGCTCCCACAGGTCCTTGCTCACACCTGCAGGGGAGTCAGGGCCCGGTGGGCTGAGGGGTCTCCCTTGGCGGCCATAAAGAGGTGTCTCTGGTGGAGCCTGTGTGTTGCTTCTCCCAAGGGACACTTCTCTCTAGGGACACAACCATTTGGCCCTACCAACTGCAAGTGCCCCTTGAGCTCCCACAGGATCCCCAGTTGAGAGTGAATCTTGCTTACGTGATCTGAAGTAGGGTCCCTGCTGTTAGATTCATGAAAGCATTTCACAACTGCTTTGTCTCTGGCCTTGATTGCTTGTCAGCAGGTTGGGAGAAGGGCCTTCCCGCCTCGCCTCCCTCCTTCCCGCCTCCCTCCTTCCTCCCCTCCCCCTCCATCCCCCTTCCCTCCCAGCATAGCTCTGAAGTGCTCCTGGGGTCTCTGCGGACAGGTGTCTGGAGGTGATACCTGTTGTTATATGACCTGCAGGGGCCGCAGTTTCCCTGGCTTGTCCAGGGGGCTGTGCCCATGGGCTTGCTTCTGCCAGGGTCTGGTGTCTGTATGCCCAGCCTTGGTGTGCCTGTCCACGCCTGCCATCATCGTTGCTGCTGTTGCTGGGCTTCAAGTTGGGGTGCTCAAAGTTTGTTGATACTGTTTCGTGGATGGCTTCTCTGTGCTCTCAGAGGTCCCTCAAATACTGCCATTTAAAAAGCCTGCCTAGCCACTTGTGAAAGCGCTGTTAAATTACAGCCCTAAGTGAATGTTGTTCCTGGAACTCACTTTCAAAATTTATTTATTTTAATGCTCAGGTCCTTTTTGAGTTGGGGTTTCGGTATTCTTGTCTTGGCTGACCTTTCCTGTCCTCCCTGTGGCACATACAGCAACATTGATTTTGGGTAATGTATTTTGATTTTAAGATGCAGCCCATCCATAAACTTTTCTATCAATAATCCTAGCACATTCTGTGTACTCGACAGCTTAAAGCAAAATATCAGATTTATGGAGACTTTTATTTTTGGTCAATTTAGTCGTTCACTTGTCATCGGTGTCAGGGCCTAAGTCCGGCCCCAGTGGACTCCCCTCCAAGGTCACACGTCAGGTCAGCAAGGGTGGGGGCCTGGCCCTCTCTGTGCCCTGTGGAGAGGACAGTGCTCCCAAGCAGGGGGAGGGCAAGTGAAAGGGCTTGAGTTTTGTTTCCTTTGTCTTTTGTCCCACCTCATCACCACCGTGGAGTCCCACATCCCACGAGGAGGTTAGCCAGGCTTTAGCCTGGCATTGTGTAGGCACAGAGGGTCTCTGCTCTCCCTAGGCCTAAGGCCCCTCGGGAGGCAGCCGGGCCTGGCCTGGGTACCCTTGGCAGAGCAGGCCTGGCTTCCAGTCAGTCTG